GGCAACAGTAGAGCAACAGAGGCCGCAGTCCACTTCTGAAGATTTTTTCCAGTTGACAAGGCCTTGATTTTTTGCCCAGTTGTGTTTCTAAGCACCAGACACCAGTGGCAAGGAGGGGCAGCACCCAGAGCACCACAAGACAGGGAAAGTCTCACCAAAGGAGAGTGCCCACATCCCTAATAGAGGAGGAGGGGGAGGGGTAAGGTGAGGAATGGCTTTGGAAAACATGTCCATCTTACTCAGGCCTGCCAGGTCTGGCTGAGTGAGTCTCTCCCAGGGCTGGGTCTCAGGGGAATCTTTGTGACTAGAAGGGTGTGAGGACCTATGGCAGCCTAAGGTTGGGAAGTGGAGATCCCCTCTAACATTTCAGAAGGTACTGAGTCCTTGGGACCAGGTTTCCTGCTAGGGCAGGGCACGTGGTGGAACACACCAGCTCTCACTGGTGATGGCTTTACTTACTGTGGTTGGAGGCTGAGGGTTTGTGCTCTGTGAGATCGCGCTGGTCGCTTGCCCTAAACAAATATCAGAGACTGTGACTGCTATTCCCAAGCATAAGATCTTTGCTCCTTGAAGTAGCAAGGACATTGTCAGCAGTAAATTTCTTGGGGCCCCTCAGTGCTCATTTACACCAGAGTTGGTACTGCCTTTCCTCGTAGGCCTCCTCTTCAGTGTACCCACCATGCCTTCCAGTGTGCACTCCTTTCCTGCTGCCCTGACGTTCACATAGGTCCATTCTTTATCAATTGCCTCTGAGCCTACTTCTACCCTGACACCTTTCCCTTTTGAAGGTAGATGCTGTTTTTATCTTCACCTTATTTATTGCCTAAGGTGCCTTCAGTTTCTGCTTTTTGTTAGGTTCTCTTCCTGTCCCTACCCTCTCTTCTCCTTCTCTTCCTGTGGTTGACAGAGCACAGGACTCACTTTCTCTAGCTTCTCTTTGTATTTTCATTTGTTTTTCTTCTTGGACCTTGGCTTCCCTGACTGGGGGACCTAGTTGCATAATCTGTCCCCTCTAAACCAGATGGAGATGGGAATAACCATGTCCCAAAGGGAGAGGGGTGCAGAAGGCTTGAAAACCAGGGAAGAAGAGGCCTCAGGAATCCATGCTGAGAAGCAGGGGTTTAGAAAGGAGGAGGAGCAGATCCAGGCCCAGAGACAGAGGGGAAGTCTCCTTCCCTCTCCCAAGCATGGTCGTTAGCTTTGGAGGAAGCGGGACAAGAGGGAAGGCCATCATACCCTCCAGTCTTTCTGAAATACAGGAAGTACACCAGGGCTGCTATCAGAGCTACGCCAGCCAGGACGCCAACCACAATGCCGGCCATAGCCCCATCTGAGAGGCCAGGACTTGGTAGTGTTGGATCATCTGTCATGGATAGAAAAGAGAAGAATGAGTGAGGTGACGTTATTTTACAGTGGGGGTGCCCTTTGAGGTAAATAGCTGACTACATCCTTATAATTTTTTCTCTCTCACTGTATTTCTAGGTTGGTGCTCAGACTTGCCACAATTCCATCCTGGCCTTTCTACACAAAGATACTTTTGGAGCTTTGGAAATGTGAGAAAGGCGGGTTTCCATTTTTGTAAGTTGTAAGTTTTCACCATTTCATGGTTGCCTGTTTTTCTGTACCAGGTGTGGCAGCCATGAATATGTGCCACTCAGGTCTCCTGTGATGGGGACTTAATTGATAGAAGGTGGTAAATGCACCACCTGCTTTGCACAGAGACTTCCCACAGGTTCTCAGCAGGGATATGAAATAAGTCCATTTTGTGAGGAACTGTTTTCCTCTATGGGTGACTTTAGCTTAGACACCCCATCAGCTTTGCAGATATTCTCTTAGAACCACACTGCAACTTAAAATTTTCTCCTCTTTCTTCTTCACAGTAATCAGATCTGCATCCTGGTCAGAGAAATCTAGGCTTTTCCCACTTCCACCCACCTTTCTTTAACAGGCATTTTTTCCAGTAAATATTTGTATATCTAATCCCATCTTGGCTGCATCTCAGGGGATGAAACTGAACAAACTAGGCTTGAAACTTTGCACTCAACTTCTTTTTATTTTCCTTTATCTAGTCAGTAACCATGTCCCAATGATTTTTGTGAGTGATGTCCCCCTAACTCCCAAATATAAATAAATTTGCACCTATATCTTCTCTTTTATTTCTGTTGTCTTCACTGGTCAACTCAAGATTGATGATTATTTATATTAGCTACTGCTATGGGGTACTTACTATGTGCCAGTGCCACTCAGGTCTCCTGTGATGGGGACTTAATTGATAGAAGGTGGTAAATGCACCACCTGCTTTGCACAGAGACTTCCCACAGGTTCTCAGCAGGGATATGAAATAAGTTCATTCTGTGAGGAACGGTTTTCCTCTATGGGTGACTTTAGCTCAGACACCCCATCAGCTTTGCAGATACTCTCTTAGAACCACACTGCAACTTAAAATTTTCTCCTCTTTCTCCTTCACAGTAATCAGATCTGCATCCTGGTCAGAGAAATCTCCTAGGCTTTTCCCACTTCCACCCACCTTTCTTTAACAGGCATTTTTTCCAGTAAATATTTGTATATCTAATTCCATCTTGGCTGCATCTCAGGGGATGAAACTGAACAAACTAGGCTTGAAACTTTGCACTCAACTTCTTTTTATTTTCCTTTATCTAGTCAGTAACCATGTCCCAATGATTTTTGTGAGTGATGTCCCCCTAACTCCCAAATATAAATAAATTTGCACCTATATCTTCTCTTTTATTTCTGTTGTCTTCACTGGTCAACTCAAGATTGATGATTATTTATATTAGCTACTGCTATGGGGTACTTACTATGTGCCAGGCTCTGTGCTCAATACTTTAGTTATATCTCATGTAATTCATATAATAACCCTGTCAGATAGATATTATTTCCATTTTACTGATGAAAAAAATTGAGTCTTAGAGTGTTAAAAAATTTACCCAAAGTCATATGTTTAGTAAGAGGTGGATCTGGGTGTCAACTCTAGGACCACCTGACTTCATAGAGGCTAATGATAATGGTAGTAATAAGAGCAGCTAACACTTATGGAACTTTTCTGCTGCATGTGGCATTTGCTAAGGGTTTAATTGATTATTACATTATATATTTAAAGCAATATAATGAAGCAGGTACTGTTATTGTACTTTTCAGTAGTGGAAATGGGGCCCAGAAAGTAAAGAATCTTGTGCAAGAAATTTGATATTGTAATTGCTTACTTTAAAAAAGAAGAAAGATCTCAAATCAACAACCTAACTTTACAACTTAAGGAACTATATAAAGAATATACTAAATTCAAAGCTACCAGAAGGAAGGGAATAATCAAGATTAGAGTGGAGATATATAAAATACAGAATGGAAAAACAATAGAGAAAAATCAATGAAACCAAAAGTTGGTTCTTCAAAAAAGATTAACAAAATTGATAAACCTTAAACTAGATTGTCTTAAGAAAAAAAGAGAGAAGATTCAAATCACTAAAATCAGAAATGAAAGTGAGGATATTACTACCAATTCTACAGAACAAATGAGAATTATAATAGTACTATGAATAATTGCATACCAAAAAATTGGATAACTTAGATGAAATGGACAAATTCCTAGAGACACAAAACCTACCAAATGGAATCATAAAGAAATAGAAAATATGAGTGAATCTATAAATAGTAAGGAGATTTAGTCAGTATAAGCATTTGACAAATTCAACACCCTTTCATGATAAAAATGCTCAAACTAGGAATAGAAGGAAACTACCTCAACATAATAAAGGCCGATTATGACAAACCTACAGCTAACATGATTCTCAATAGTGAAAGACGGAAAGTTTCTTTTCTAAGATCAGGCAGAGACAAAGATGTCTGCTTTTGCCATTTCTACTCAAAACAGTATTGAAAGTCCGAGCCAGTAATTAGGCAAGAAAAATAAATAGAAGGCATCCAAATTGTAAAGGAAAAGGTAAAATTTGCATATGATATGATCTGTTTGCATATGATATGATCTTATATGTAGAAAACCCTAAAGATCCCACAAAAAACAGTTAGAACTAATAAATTCAGCAAAGCTGCAGGTTACTAAATCAACTTGTAAAAATCAGTCGTGTTTTTATATACAAACAATGAACAATTCAGAAAGGAAATTAAGAAAATTCCATTTACAACAGTATCAAAAAGAACAAAATACCGTAGGAACCAAAATGGTGGTGTAGGTAAATGCTGGTATTTGCATCCTCCCACAACTAAAAAATTACAACTAAAATACAGAACAACCATTATTCAGAACTGCTTGAAGTCTGGCTGAATGGAAGTCCTCCAACTAGAGGATTAAAGAAGAAAGAACATTGAGATTTGTAGGAGGGGTAGAAGTGAGGAACGGACTAGTCTTACACCTACATGTGGTGTGTTTTTAATTGGGAGGAATATCTTAGCTGAGGAGGCCTCCGTGAGGAGCAAGGGTCCCAGCCCCACACAAGACCCCCAGCTCAGGGTTCCAGTGCCGGGAAGAGATGTCCCTGTAACTTCAGGTGGTAAAAACCAAGTGGGGATTGTGGCTGAGTGACATGGAGACTACTGGAGTCGCAGGCAGTTCCACTTACAGGGCCAGCACATGGGCTTACCCAGACTTACTCCCTCTGAGCTCCAATCCTGGGCAGCATCTTGAAAGGATCCAGGGACATATGGGGAGGAATTATATTGTCTGGTATCAGGGAAACTCAGGGACAGCTTTCTCCCAAAAAATGCTGCGACCTCCCCCACTACACAGTTGACTAGCAGGCGCTCCATATCTGAGTCTCCATCAACCACCTGGCCCATGTTTGCCCCACCCTGGTGTGTCCCTCAGATCTTGCCCCACCCAATTTGCAGCCCCTCCCAAGCTATTTGCAGTGTATCTTCTATATATGAATGGCCTATTCTGGCTCAGGCTTCAGACTTTCCTAAAACCTCTCAAACAAGTAGCAACTGGACTCAGTGTGCTCCTACCTCTCGATAAGTATTGAGATATTAGCAGCAGTTTGCCAAGGTTCCCAGCTTGGTCTCTACTGGGCACCTCCTAGTCCAGCCGTGGGCAAACTACGGCCTGCGGGCCGGATCCGGCCCGTTTGAAATGAAT